GTCAACTTCCATCTCTTATTATTTGGAAATGATTTCTTGTCTGTTGATGTGAATAAAAAAATGTTTCACTGTGTCCAAAAGTTCATTCGTTATTCATGTAGATTTTGATCCCTTTTTCTTCTTTTGTTTCTTTGTCATTTAATCATATCTGTACAACTTTGATTGTTTATGATGTGAGAATTTTACTTGTGATCATTTTTATTCTTTATTATCATTATTGTCATAAATTTTTTTTCCAAAGTACTGCTGTAATTGTAATCATATTGTAAGAACTCTGAATCTTTAGTCAAAGCCGTAACTAGGCTCCGATTTTTAGTGAGGCAAGGGTGCTGGGCATTTCTAGTCCCAGACGGGGCAAGGGTAGTACTTGATAGCCATTGATGTGGGGTTTCCAGGAGGAGGGGAATCTTTAAACCAGTTACCTGGGTATTAGAAAATAAAAGATTTAATCTTAGGAAGTTAATACGTTTTTGAATGGTCGCTCGCATGGCACAGTGGTTAGAGCGTATGACCGTATGCTCTAGAATCGCAGACTAAGGAGTTGATCCTTACATCGCGAGTCCCACTGCGGGAAGTAGACCAGTCCTTCGGATGAGACCGTAAAAATCGAGGTCTTATATCACAGTAAGTGATGGCACAAAAAGATCTTTCACTGTTCAATCATCTTATTTCAGTGACCCTGAAAGCCTAGTGCAGATTTAAAACTTGCAGCCCTCCACTGGCAACAAGGGCTGTCTCAATATGAATGAGAAATTCTTAGATGGGATGTTTTAACAATCAAACAGTTTACAAAACAAACATTTTGAATTATATTTTACATGCGTTCTAAATGAAAATGAGGCACCTGGTGAGATGAACGATTTTCAGAAATTGAAACAAAAGTTGAAAATATTAATTTAGCATGAAGACACACACAATTCATAAGTTCAGTGTAAAACTTTTTCACTTTTCAGAAAATTCAAAAAATTTAGTGAGGTATTTGCCTTACTTGCCTCAATGGTAATTACGGCCTTGGTCGCGGGTTCGAATCCAACCGTGGGAGAGAACGGTCCTTCGGATAAGACAATATAAGGCGAGGTCCCGTGTTGCAGTACGTACTAGCACGAAAAAGATCCGTCACTGCTCAATGACCCCGAGTGCCGAGTATAGGACATGTAGATGGTGCTCACAGCTGTATTGAGCGACTGAACGTGTAATGCCGGACCCCACTTTGTAGATATTTTAAACTTGTAATAAGCTTGCTACATTGATTGCATATGTTATATTCTCCCTCACTATGTTCATTCAAATATAAATTTATATTCTAAGTATGAGAATAAGAAAAGAACTCTATATTACACACGCATTGAATCCGAGGGGAGGGGGGTATCATTAAATCGGCATGCATTGAACATTGGGGCGTTGGTTACCTGATCACTAGATTTCAGCTCACATAGCAGTTACTTTTGAAAGGCTGCAACAATGACCTTGTATCTGAAAATCATCTATCCCTCTGTTTTCAATAATCCAGATAGATTGCATCATCAATACGTACTGGTCCCTGCTAACAAAGCACTAACAATATTGTCTTCGTTTATACACACTGTTCCCTTTCTAAGGAATAAATTCTTCAAAATCATATGCAGTTTTGAATTTTTTTAATATCCCAAACAAAATTGAATACGATCTACCACATCTTTAGTGGATTCTGAAACTTCATAAAAAAAAAAGTTGAAAATATTAATTTAGCATGAAGACACACACAATTCATAAGTTCAGTGTAAAACTTTTTCACTTTTCAGAAAATTCAAAAAATTTAGAGAGGCATTTGCCTCACTTGCCTCAATGGTAGTTACGGCCTTGTTAGTAAGTGTCTTAACTTGAAATATTTTGTATTTATCATGTATATGTATAACTTAACACCTTCAGTTGTTATTTTGGCAATCACTTATTTAATTATTGTATATATTACAGGGAGAGGTTTTTAGCTCACCTGAGCCGAAGGCTCAAGTAAGCTTTTCTGACTTTTCACATTTTTGACTTCTTCTCAAGAACCACTGGGCCAATTTTAACCAAACTTGGTACAAAGCATTCTTAGGTAAAGGGGATTTAAAATTATCAAAATAAAGAGCCAAGACCCCTCACAAGGGGAGATAATAAAGAAAATACAAAAAAAGGTGGGGTCATTAAAAAATCTTCTTCTCAAGAACCACTTCGCCAGAAAAGCTGAAACTTATGTGGGAGCATCCTGGGGTAGTGTAAATTCTAAATTGTTCAAATCATAACCCCCGGAGGTTGGGCGGGCCACAATAGGGAATCTAAGTTTTACATAGAAATATATAGGAACAAACTTTAAAAATCTTCTTCTCAAGAACCACTGGGCCAGAAAAGCTGAAACTTATGTGGAAGCATCCTGGGGTAGTGTAGATTCTAAATTGTTCAAATCATGACCCCCGGGGGTTGGGCGGGCCCGCAATAGGGAATCCAAATTTTACATAGAAGTATATAGGAACAAACTTTAAAAATCTTCTTCTCAAGAACCCCTCACAAGGGGAGATAATAAAGAAAATACAAAAAAAGGGTGGGGTCATTAAAAAATCTTCTTCTCAAGAACCACTGGGCCAGAAAAGCTGAAACTTATGTGGAAGCATCCTGGGGTAGTGTAGATTCTAACTTGTTAAAATTGTGATCCCCGGAGGGGGGGGGGGACGAGGCCACACTAGGTATTACAATGGGGAAATGGGGTAAAGAACGACATCACCAATGCTACTCAGGTGAGCGATGTGGCCCATGGGCCTCTTGTTTTAAGTTGCAAGAACTTGTAACCAATCCCTTTGTATAAATTATACAATAAAATATGTTCAAAACAATTGGCCTAGAATTGGTAAACTTTGTCAGTTGAGGCATCTTGGGTTTTTTGACCACAAAGTAGGTCATGGTGACCCACTTTTGAATATCTCATGTACTTACTTACCGGTACTTAGAATCATCAAACTTTGTCAGTTGATGGAACTTAGGTTTTCAGAGAATGCTGTCAGAAAAGTAGGTCAAAGTAGGTCTTTTGACATTTTATTGCTATATTTAAATATCTCAGGTACTTCTTGGCTTTGAATCATCAAACTTTGTCAGTTGATGCATTATTGGGTTTTTGGAGAATGTCAACTAAAAAGTAGGTCACTGTAATCAACATTGGGCTTATAATCGTCAAACTTAGTCAGTTGAGACATCTTGGGTTGTCGGGGAATGTCAACCAAAAAGTAGGTCACGGTGACCAACTTTTAAATATCTTAGGTACTTATTAGCTTACAATCATCAAAATTTAAGAGTTGATGGATCTTAGGTTTTCGGTGAATATTGACTAAAAAGTAGGTCACTGTGACCTACTTTTGACATTTTATGCTATATTTAAGTATCTTAGGTACTTATTGGCCTAGAATTGGTAAACTTTGTCAGTTGAGGCATCTTGGGTTTTCAGAGAATGTCGACCAAAAAGTAGGTCATGGTGACCCACTTTTGAATATCTCATGTACTTATTGGCTTAGAATCATCAAACTTTGTCAGTTGATGCATCTTGGGTTTTCAGAGAATGCTGTTAGAAAAGTAGGTCAAAGAAGGTCTTTTGACATTTTATTGCTATATTTATTGCTATATTTAAATATCTCAGGTACTTCTTGGCTTTGAATCATCAAACTTTGTCAGTTGATGCATTATTGGGTTTTTTGAGCATGCCGACTAAAACGTAGATCACTGTGATCAACCCTTGGCTTAGAATCGTCAAACTTTTTCAGTTGAGACATCTGAGATTTTCAGGGAATGTTGACCAAAAAGTAGGTCTCAGTGACCAACTTTTGAATATCTTAGGTACTTACTGGTATTAGCTTACATTCATCAAACTTTATCAGTTGATAGATCTTAGGTTTTCGGAGAATGTTGTCTGAAAAGTAGATCAAGGTGATCTACTTGTGACTTTTTTGGCTATATTTATGTATATGGAGTACTTATTGGCCTAAAATGGTCAAACTTTGTCAGTTGACGCATCTTGTGTTTTCGGAGAATGCTGTCTAAAATGTAGGTCACAGTGGCCTTCTTGTGACATTTTATGGCTGTATTTAGGTATCTAAGAGTACTTATTGGCTTCTTGGGTTTTCAGAGAATGTTGACTAAAAAGTAGATCATGGTGACCTACTGTGGAATATCTTTAGTACTTATTGGCTGAAAATCATCAATCTTTGTCCATTAATGCATCTTGAGGCATCAGAAGAGGTACATATTGGCTTTGAATCATCAAACTTTGTCTATTAATGCATCTTAAATCCTCAGAAAATTTCAATCAAAAAGTATGTCACTGTATCCTATTTATGGTATTTTATAGCTATATTGAAATATCTTCAGTCCTAACGTACTGGCTAAGAATCATCAAATTTATCAGTTGATGCATCTTGGGATGCTTAAGAGTTATAATTAGAGGCTTCAAAAAGAAGTGATGGATTGTATAATTTATCAGAAGAACGATTCAAGGCCCTTGGGCCTCTTGTTACCAATGTTTTAAAATTTACATCACTGACTTCAACTTTTTCTTTCATTATTTTAAACTTATCAATACTTGTGACTGATCTGTACTTTACTCATAAAAAGTTTGATACAAGAAAATATTTAATTGCCTATTTAGATTTTTAATACCCCAAATATGTTACGATCTTTAGTGCAAAAGGTCACGCAATATTTATGTGCATTAATTTGCAATATTTCAAATCAAGACCATGTGGGTAGGATGGTGATCATTTTTATATAGAAATATTTACAGGGAAAAAAAGTCATGTTTACTCACATTGATATAGAATCGACCTCAGCTAGTTTAAAGAAATCTTGGTTCTAATCACAATCCCTGGAGGTTAGGTGGAGCCACACTGGAAGATCAAAGTAATTGTAAAAAAAAAATGAATTAGTTAGAAATGTTTCAAGCAAACATATTAAACTGATCAAAATTAATTATGATACTAATTTATATATCTATTTTTTAGATGGGTGTTGCAGTCATTGACAGCTCCACGGCAGGTTTGGGTGGTTGTCCCTATGCTAAGGGAGCCAGTGGCAATGTGGCTACAGAAGATGTTTTGTATATGCTACATGGACTTGGAATAAAAACTGTAAGGAATTTTGTCTTTCCTTAAACAAAGGATAAATTTGCTAATGCATAAGAAACTATGATAAAATTGCTATATATAAAAACACTGTTTTACTTTAAGACATTGTCTGTATATATACTGGACAAAAAAGTTAGGGATTGTGATTTTGAGCTGTTTACCCAAACAATTATTATATACCGTATAAGTGGAAATTTTAGCGAGACGCAAATTTAGCGATCTAACCTAAAAAATTGGTGATTTATTTTTAGCGAGATACAATTTTAGCGATTTTTAAAAAGCTCACTAAAGTACCTATTACAAATTAACCGATATTAATAATTAGCGATATTAAATTTTAGCGATCTCGGCACTCTCTCTAATAATGCCAAAATTAAGTCCTCGCTAAAAATTCTACTTATATGGTATTTTTTACATTATAGTTCAACCATACTTTCTTTTACATGTTATTGATAAGAAAATGTTACCTGTAGGGTCATGCAATTCATGCCCAATTCATGCTTTACTGAATGCCAACACACAGTGAAAAACAAACTGATTCAGGGTATACACAAGTTAACAAAATTGTTAATATGAATACAGGTTTGAAGTTAAGGATATTTTTTGATGACCCTGTGACATTTCAAGCCATGAAACGTCACTTCACCGGCTTTGAGGCAGCACAAGCTATAGGTATGCTTCAATCTGGCAATACTCAAAGAACTGTTACTGCACACTTTAATTTGTCCCAAAGTGTCATTTCACAATTATGAAATTGATTCCAACATACTGGTACTGTTACTGAGAGACCATGTTCTGGTCGTCCGAGGTCAACCACAGCTCGTCAGGACCTTTATCTGGTCAATTTGGTAAAACGGCAGAGGATCCAGAGTGCTATTAGGCTAAATACAGACTTTCAAAAAGCAACAAGAGTGTGAGTAACACCATAGACAGTTCAAAACAGACTCCATGGGGCTAATATCCAAGCATTCCGACCAGCAGTCCAGCCCAAAATGACCCCAAGGCACAGAACGGCCAGACTCCAGTGAGCGAAACCATGTCAGTTGGCAACTGCGTCACTGGACCCCTGTTCTTTTTACAGATGAGTCACACTTTTGTGTAGACTTTTATGACGGTCATAGACAAGTTTATCGTATGACCAGTGAACGTTATGCAAATTGCTATGTTGCCGAGCATGATCATTTCGGGGGTGGTACATGTATCAGTATAACCAGAAAGGCTGACTTGCATTTTATCACAGGAAATCTCACAGATAACATACTGAGATGAAATACTGCACCCTTTTGTCAGGCTGTATGCAGGTGCAATCGCTGATGATTTTATTTTAATGGACAATAATGCTAGACCTCACAGGGCTCGCATCATAACAGACTACCTGGAAAATGAAACCATTGCGCCAAAGAGACTGGCTGAATCTTTCGCCTGATTTGAATCCCATAGAACATGCTTGGGACAAGCTGCAGCAAGCCATTTCAGCATGCCCAGTACTCCCTTAAGGAACTGTGAAAAGCTTTCTGCAGCACTCGTCAAGAAATGGGCTGGATTGCCGCAAATCTTCCGGAGACTTATCCGCAGTATGCAGAGGTGTTGTCGTACGGATATTCATGCAGTGGGTGGTCATACAGCATATTGTACACATCAAAACCCTGCGCAAACAGTTACGTCTGAATTTTCCATCCTTTACCAAGCCTGTTTTACATTCTGTTTTGGGGGTTGTGTGACAATTAATCCCAATGCACATTAACGCTTCATAGATACAATAAAAATTGTTTATTTACCTGATAAATATTTGTATTACAGACCCTAAACCGTGCTACTACACCTCAGAAACAAACCGTACCATTCCGTGCAGAAAGCGTACCGTACCGTTCACAAAGCGTACCGTTCCGTGCAGAAAGCGAACCGTTCCGTTCACAAAGCGTACCGTTCCGTGCACAAAGCAAACCGTTCCATGCACAAAGCGTACTGTACTGTTCTCAAAGTGTACCGTTCCATTCACAAAGCGTACCGTACCGTCCACAAAGCGTACCGTTCCGTGCAAGAAACGAACCGTACTGTTCTTTGGTTAATTATGCAAACTACGCCCCCAATGATTTTTGAATCGTGTAATGACCAAATAAGTCATTTTGGTTTATTTCTCGCTACGGTGCCTGTGAAAGAAGGACGGAGGTTGTGTCTGCCTGTTCGAAACACCATTATCAAGTATCATGCGTCTGGGCCTTCAACTGTAAAAAAAAGGAAACTACTCGAGACAAAATGCTACTCCTCCTACAGTTTTGGTCCGATTTCAATATAACTTGGCACACAAGTAGACTACACTAAGATACATAATTTTGTGCATGGGTTTTTGATTTCAATGAACGGTGTTGCCGTGGTTACTAAAAATAGAAATTTCTGTGAAATTCTTTCAAAATGCTACTCCTCCTACAGTTTTGGTCTGATTTCAATATAACTTGGCACAAAAGTAGACTACACTAAGATACATAATTCTGTGCATCTGTTTTTGATTTCGATAAACGGTGTTGCCGTGGTTACTAAAAATAGAAATTTCTGTGAAATTCTCTCAAAATGCTACTCCTCCTACAGTTTTGGTCTGATTTTGATATAACTTGGCATACAAGTAGACTACACTAAGATACATAATTCTGTGCATCGGTTTTTGATTTCAATGAACAATGTTGCCATGGTTACTAAAATTAGAAAAAATAGAAATTTCTGTGAAATTCTTTCTTTTCTTATTGCTGATTTAAAGTCTCAAGTCCCAACTGCTACTTTTCTCTTCCTTTGTTTTAAGTATAAACCAGTAGAGCTACAGTCTCGACAGAGACTTCTGGTTTTTTATATTAGCAAATTAAATCAATTTCTCTTTGAAATATTAGTTGTATTTAAATATTCGTAATTTAACCATACAGACATTTAAACTAATATTATAAGATGCCCTAAAATTCAATATTATTGTGCCGTGCCCGGGGAAAAAAACCCTCTTCAAATGTGTACATGTACATTCATGTTTCATAATCCTATAATTATATTTGACATAAAAATAGGTTCAATAGACTATTATACCACTAAGATAGAATAATACATAAAACATATATTAACTGTCTAGAGTAAAATTTAAAAAAAGAACCGTTTTAGACTCTCACATTAATTCTGTTAAGATATTTACTATAGGCGAATCATTGGTGCAGTTATACTTAGACAGAAAATCTGTAACCATGTAAAATATGGATTAAAATATTACATGTGGTAAACATGAAGATTTCTACTGAACTGACAGAGATGATAATCTTACTAATAAAACTGTGATCAACTTTCACGCTGCATACAAAAATCGCCAGCTGAATTTCTTGCAAATAAAATGTGCAAACTGCAGTATAAATATTAATTACTTCATTCTGAAATACATCTCATGAAAAATGAAAAAAAAAACAGTCTGCAAAAAAATAAAGATATTATAAGGTTTGTTACACTACATACCCCCATCATCTTTCTAGAAAGCAATACGAATTAGCTGGTTAATAGTTCTTTAGAAGTCTGCAAAAAGGTATGTTGTTGTAAATAAAAAAATCATAATCTACAGGAAACATTCTTATTAGTGTCTGAAAAAGATAATTTACTAAATAAAATGAAATTTAAAAAAAATATGTGTTTGTTAACCCCCCCCCCCCCCCCCCACCCAGAAGTTGATACTTATGCGAATTTATGTGACTTTAAATTGTGCTTTTGTAAAAAAAAGAAAATTATGATTTAGGGATACATGCTTATTTATTTTTGTCTGAAAAAGGATAATTTAGGAAGTAAATTTCTAATCAGTGTTGTGGTGCAACCTGGAAGATGAGTTTGCTGGATGTTAGTTGAGTGATTAAATACACTTGATGTGGTCAGAACTAAATAATTTGAAAGGTGTGTTAAACACATGGCGACCCGTCCCTCCGGTGTGACCCACTATTTTTTTTTAAACAGGTGTGAACTATGAACTGACCATAAGAATGTTTCAAATCACAGGAGAAATTCTTCCAGCGTAAACAGACTTTCAGGGTCACCTAGCGTCATGCCATATTGATTGACAGGTGATGCACGAGGATTTCATGCGTGCAGCATGCATGTACAGAGAACGGATTATTCACTGCACAATAGTTGTAAATGGGTTGATTAAATAGAATCATAGAGTGATTAATTGTGACTTTGGCGATGTAAATAAAACGAAGAATGAGAATAAATACAAGTTATTATTTTTTTACAGATGTAATGTATTAAGGGGTTGCATCTCTCTCTCTCTCTCTACCCCTCCCCCCCCCCCCTCTTTCATTCCTGACATCGTTTTTACAGACTTTACAAGAATAGAATAACTTAATAAAATAAAGAGAAACTTATTAAAATAATTACTTAATACACTGAAAGGATTATTGAAAACATAAATACATGTCTGTGAAAAGAATGTTTTCTGTTACGAGAAAGCGCTTGGAACTTATTGTATTGATTTCGTGTTTCTGCTGCTGATTTTCGTTTTTATTTTGTTTACTGATATTTCTCTTCTGAAGCAAACGTTTAAAGGACAGATCTTATTTAATTTTAAAAATAAAAAAAACAATGTACATATCTAATTACTAGGAGTAAAAATGAAGCAGGAATAGTCATATTTATTTCTATAGATCAATCAATTAAAAATAATTTATATATGTGCGTAGCGTTATATGTATAGAACAAGTAAATACCCGGTATATATTAATTCCTTTTAATTATGTTACAACTTTATTTTAAAGTGAAAAAAATATTTAATTTAATTTTTTTTCCTTTTTAGCTCACCTGAGCCGAAGGCTCAAGTGAGCTTTTCTGATCAAAATTTGTCCGTTGTCTGTCGTCGTTGTCGTTGTCGTTGTTGTCGTTGTCGTTGTCGTTGTTGTCGTGAAGAACCACTGGGCCAATTTCAACCAAACTTGGTACAAAGTATCCTTGGGTGAAGGGGATTCAAGTTTGTTCAAATGAAGGGCCATGCCCTT